TTTGTCGGTCGTGGGGCTTGAACTCTGGGCCTGGGCGCTGTCCCTCAGCTCTTCAGCTCAAGGCGAGCGCTCTACCACTTGAGCTACAGTGCCACTTCCAGTTTTCTGGTGGTTTATTGGAGATAGGAGTCTCACGATCTTTCCTGCCCGGATCCTCAGATCTCAGCCTCCTGAGTAGCTAGGATTACAGGCATGAGCCACCAGCGCCCGGCTTTATTTTCCATTTCTATCTTGTATAATGATAACTGTCTGTTTTTTGTTTCTAGGTAATTTAATTCCAAGACATCAGGAGCTGTTTTATAAAAACCCTGTGTTTGCTGGAGGAAGATTGCCTGAAATAAAGGAAACAGAGCCTCTTGAAAGACGCTATCCTAAGCTGCCTGAGGTTGTGATAGACTTAACAAAGGTAACAATAATAATTTACCTCTCATTTTCTTTTTCTCCTTTTATTAGGCAGAGAGTGAAGTCACTTTTCGTTTTCTAATAGGGAGTTTATCTATGATGGAGATTTGGTCTCCCCCCCCCACTCCTTCCTATGTCTAGTTGATTTTTTAGGTCAATGATTTCCTCTGGTTACTTTAATTTTTGTACATTAAGAGGTTAAATAACAAGATATGTGTACATGTGAGAGAGAAGGGCAGAGAAATATGAGATAAAAGCTTGAAATTTTTTACTTGTTTAAAAATTACATTAAGAAGTGTTTCTAGGATATAGAAATGTGTAAAAATATTCTCATATAAAACTACATAAAAATAAAAATTATGTTTTAAACTTTTGTGGAAATGAGATGATAAGATCACAACTTGTAGTAAAGGAGATCTTTGCTAAGACACAATATGCTAAAGCTAATTTATAAATAGCTATTATTACTTTTATCATTATTGTTATTGTTATTATTATTATTATTGTTGCATTTAACTGGGGAAGATCTTAGGGAGATTTTCATTGTATCAAGTCTACCCTTTAACATTATTAACTCAGAAAGTTCTCATTAAGTAAAGTTGTCCAAACTACTAAATCTCCAGGATTTTGTAACAGTTATTCAAGTTAGTTTGCTTGCTTTTTGTTGTTGTTGTTTGTTGTTGGTTGTGGGGCTTGACAGTTGGACCAGGGCGCTGTCCCTGAGCTCTTCAGCTTAAGGCCAGTGCTCTACCACTTGAGCCACAGTGCCATTTCCGGTTTGGTGGCTCTTGCCTGTAATCATAGCTACTCAGTAGGCTGAGCTCTGAGGATCGCGGTTCAAAGCCAGCCAGAGCAGGAAAGTCTGTCAGACTCTTAGCTCCAAGAAAACCGGAAGTTGCACTGTGGCTCAAGTGGAAGAGCATTAGCTTGAGCTGAACAGCTCAGGGAAAGCACCCAAGCCCAGAGTTCAACCCCCATGACAGACAAAAAAAAGTCTTAGGAACTTTCCTGCCCAGGCTGGCATTGAACCACAATCTTCAGATCTCAGGCTCCTGAGTAGGTAGGATTACAGGTATGTGCTTTCTTTAACTCATTAAAAATGTCCAGGAAGCTGGGTGCTGGTGCCCCATACCTGTAATCCTAGCAACTTAGGAATTTGAGATCTGAAGAAGCCAGCCTAGGCAGAAAAGACTCTTGTCTCCAATTATCTACCAAAAAAAAAAAAAAGCCAGCAGGAGAACTGTGGCTCAAGTGGTAGAGTGCTAGCCGTGAGCAAAAGAGCTCTGGGACAGTGCCCAGGCCCTGGACTGGTAGAAAAAAAAAATTAGGAAACGTAAAACGAATTATAAGCCTTTAGACTTAAAACATTTCTATTTTTCTATATAACTTAGAGGTGAAATATTTTTTATTGGGACCAACTTTATGATTTGTCTATAAAGATATTTAAAGGAAATAAAGGTTAATTGAAGTCCAACTTATATCCCTTAAGTAGAATCATATATTCATTAAACATCTAATAATAGATAGAAAAATCTCAAACAGGAAAGGCAGTTGATAATATAATAAAACTTGTCTTCTAGCTTTAATAATAATAATCTGTTTATCTGACCTTTAACATTTTTCTTGCAGTATTTTGAAATAAATCTTACATGCTGTTATTTGACATAATAAATGACCTCAATTAGTCATACAATTTATCATTTTTACTTAAAGCTATTTACCGAGTCTTGTTTTTATTTGCATTGAATGTTTTGATGAATGAGAAGACCGTGTGTTAAATCATCTATGTAAAGCACCCACCACCCTCCACTTGTAAAACAATCCTTACTAACTTTCATTAGTCTATATTTGTGCATGGCTATGAAGTACTTCGAGCATGTCTACTTCCACTCTATTCTTTGTCCCTACTCCTTATGCATGTCACCCCTCCATTGTACTCTTATACCATTCCTCCCCCTGTCCCACCAAAAAACTAGATTCTGCATATGAGAGGAAAACATGAGATATCTATCTTTGTCTGGCTTATTTCACTAAACATGATTTTTTTTGTTGTTGGTGGTGGTTGTGGGGCTTGAACTCAAGATCTGGGCACTGTCCCTGAGCTCTTTTGCTCAAGGCTAACACTCTACCATTTTGAGCCACAGTGCCACTTGGGGTTTTCTGCTAGTTAATTGGAGATAAGAGTCTCATGGACTTTCCTGTCTGGGCTGGCTTTCAACCATGATCCTCAGATCTCAGCCTCCTTAATAGCTAGGATTACAGGCATGAGCCACTGGCACCTGGCTGATTTTTGTTTTTTAGACAGAGTTTTGTTTTAAAAATCAGAATTGTGATCTTTCTGCCACAGCCTCAACCTACTGTGTGCAGGGATTACAGATACATGTTATTATGCCTGGCTAAACTTCTTTCAATTTCGTTCTTTCTTTCTTTTTTGTTTAAATCTTACAATTTAGTAAAGCAAGTATGTTATATGTTCCATATTTTTATTTATTTATTTATTTTTTTGTCAGTCGTGGGGCCTGAACTCTTGGCCTGGGTGCTGTCCCTCAGCTCTTCAGCTCAAGGCCAGCACTCTACCACTTGAGCCACAGTACCACTTCTGGCTTTTTCTGCTTATGTAGTGCTAAGGAATTTGAACCCAGGGCCTCATGCATCCAAGGCAAGCACTCTACCACTGAGCCACCTTCCCAGCCCTGTTCCATATTTTTATATAACATAGTTTAACATGTTCTCATGTTTTTTGATTTCTTATACAATTACAGTAAATCCAGAGATTGGTAAGAATTTAGATTTTTTTTTTTGGGCAGGACAAATTTGCATGAGTTTGTATATTTCCATCTAGAGACACTGAATGTCTGGCATGTTTGTTTTTGTTTTTATTTTTGCCTGTTTGTATGGTATTAACAACTGATAATTATTTTCTAGGATTTATTCATCCTTGATTATAGATAGTTAAAATTCATTGGCTTTAAAGAAGGGTTTTCTATATCTCTATATTTATACACCTAACCGTAGGCGGTTTTCCTTGAATAAAGAATGGTATATGTTCTTGATTTTTCAGAAGTGCTTACATGTTGACCCAGACAAAAGACCTTTCTGCCCTGAGCTCCTGAGCCATGATTTCTTTCAAGCGGATGGGTTTGCTGAGAGGTATAGTAGCAGCCTGCGTTTTCCAGGCTATAGGAAGTCAGGGCTCAAGAAAACTTCACCAACAGTTAAACAGTATTTGTCTTTTCTTCCTGTTATCACCTATTCTTGCAGAATCTCAAATATCTACATCCTGTCCCCAGTTACCTTAGGTTGATGGCTTAGGCGATAAAGCAATTCCTTGGGGTGGTCTCCTATATTTACTAAACTACTTCAGCTGGTTTGCATGCAGCAGTTCTTCAGGCTTTGTACCTGACTTCCTGTGGTGGCATCTTCCATTTGGTTTTCAATTATTTCTATGCTGCTGTTATGTGATGTCATCATCTTGGAGACTGATTCAGAGCAAAAATGCCATGTCCTCTTGCTGCCAGACAAACTCCACCAGGCCCTATGGTGCTGCCAACCTGTGTGTGGTTGCCAGTGGTGCTGCATGGTCTCTGGCTCTGGCCCTGTTTCTGGTGCTGACATCATTTGGCATCAGTGAGGCTGACAAAACAAATAGATGAGTGGCAATGACAGCACACACACACACACACACACACACACACACACACACACACACACACACACACACACACACACAGAGGAAGGGGCAAATCTTAATATCTAGCTTAATGAAAGAGAGCCTGGAGTCTTGTGTTAGCTTCTACATTAAGGTGGTTACAATATGTTGTATTGGTTTACTCTTAACTATTTTTTAATCAGTTGTAGGGCTTGATTTCAGGGCCTGGGTGCTGTTCCTGAGCATTTCTTTTTTTTTTTTTTTGGGGTCCGGTTGTGGGGCCTGAACTCTGGGCCTGGGCACTGTCCCTCAGCTCTTCAGCTCAAGGCTAGCACTCTACCACTTGAGCCACAGCGCCACTTCT